AATTATGTTTGTTAACTAGTCCACACATGCTAGAATTGGTGTATATTACACCTTGAAGTTCAAGGAAGCACTCACCTGCATATTGTTGAATAATGAAGTGCATTAGATCCTCTATTTAGAATTCTTACCACTACCTAAGATGAGCTTTTAAATTAAGACTCCACCAGATTAGGGGTTTTGAACATATAGATTGAAATTGTAACTGCTTTTATGTGATTTGGAGAACAGATCATACCAGCACCCTGACTAGACCAAACTTACATATACCCTGAATCAAATCTTATCCCCAAACTGAGCCAGCTGTCTGATGTGACCCTGACACCTACCTCGACCCACATGCAAGAATCATGTGAGAGATAAAAATAACTCTCTCCTGTTGCTTGTGGCAGCAGTTGAGAGGGAGCTAGCTCAAAGCTAATTGGACTGTGGGGAAGCATGAAAGTGTAAAATGGTTGCAGTGAACTCTGTCTTAGAGGACCTTTACCTCTGAGGATTCTTCCTCTTGATCACCACTATGCCTTTAAAGAACTGAAATCCTCTTGCTTCCTAAAGAGGCACCTCCTCCTAAGAAAACTGCTAAATCTCAATTTAGCAACTGGTAAATATAAGAATATTTCTTTGCTTTTCACAATAGAATCATTGGCAGGATCACCTTAGATAGAATTCTGCAAAGTAGATCCCATAAATATTGATATAAAACTTGAAATGTTGAAGGATGCCTGGGTGGTTCAGTGGTTAAGCGTCTGCCAGTGCCTTAGGTTGTGATCCCGGGGTCCTGGGATCAAATTCTGCATCAGGCTCCCTGCAGGGAGCCTGCTTCTCCCTCTGCCTGTGTTTCTGCCTCTCTCTCCCTGTATCTCTCATGAATAAATAAATAAAATCTTTTAAAAAAAATTGAAACTTTGAGACAAAGCTATTAATTTCTACAACTTTTTTTTCTATTGAAGATTAATTAGAAGTGAAAATGTATGCTACTGAAATTCTTTGTACAGATGGCAATGTTATGTAATTTACACTAGACTTTATAAGAATGTATCTGTTGTATAAAGAAAATGATTTTATGCTTTCTTCCAACTGCCTTTGTTACAGTAAATCATAGATATATGTTGGTGTTGAATGCAGAAAACACCATTATTAAACAAAAGTTTAATAAAATTATATTGAGGGGGATCCCTGGGTGGCTCAGCGGTTTGGTGCCTGCCTTCGGTCCAGGGCGTGATCCTGGAGTCCCGGGATCAAGTCCCACGTCAGGCTTCCTGCATGGAGCCTGCTTCTCCCTCTGCCTGTGTCTCTGCCTCTCTCTCTCTCTCTCTCTCTCTCTCTCTCTCTCTCTCTCTGTGTGTGTGTGTGTGTGTCGTGAATAAATAAATAAAATCTTAAAAATAATAATAAAATAAAATTATATTGAGCTGTCATGATATTATGTTAATTGCACCCTTAAAAATTGGAGATTGAGGTGCCTGGGTGGCTCAGGTCGTTAAGTGTCCAACTCGACTTGGGCTCCAGTCATGATCCTCAGGGTCATGAGATCGAGCCCCGCATCAGGCTCTGAATTCAGCTTGTAGTCTGCTTGTCCTTTGTCCCTCTCTCTCTGCTCCTCCACTCACCCCTCTACTGCCCTGTGTGTGCACACTCTCTCTCAAATAAAATATTTTTTAAAAAAAGCTGGAGATCATTTTCTTTTCTAAACTTTTGGGTTCTTTAAGAAAAAAATTGAACAGTTAGAACTGCAAAAGAGAACTCTTTCTTTACTTTGCAGAAGTAAAATATGAATGATGGCCTCTATGAATCTCCTTACTTCCCTCCCCCCACAACCAATCTGACAGCCCTGCTCATAGGCCCTGTCAGTGGGGACCACAGGCAGGAGCACAGATACCACATCTCAAAGGAGTTGATCTGAGTGTTCAGGCTGCCTATGATTGGGGTACAAAATTGGTTTTCTAGGGATCCCTGGGTGGCGCAGCAGTTTGGCGCCTGCCTTTGGCCCAGGGCGCGATCCTGGAGACCTAGGATCGAATCCCACATCGGGCTCCCGGTGCATGGAGCCTGCTTCTCCCTCTGCCTGTGTCTCTGCCTCTCTCTCTCTCTCTCTCTCTCTCTCTCTCTCTCTCTCTCTCTCTGTGACTATCATAAAATAAAAATAAAATTTAAAAAAAAAATAAAAAAAAATTGGTTTTCTAGTCCAAGCTGGCCTGCCAGCTCCCACTTGTTCAGGCAGCTACATTGGTTAATTCACGAAGTACAATCTAACTAGTCTTAGCTAGCCATGGAGTGCAATTATCTCTAAAAATGTAGAGAATCAGTTTAGGGCACCTGGCTGGCTCAGTCAGTGGAGCAAGTGGTTCTTGTTCTTGGGGTCAAGAGTTTTTGCCCCACATTGGGTGTAAAGAGATAACTTTTAAAAAATTCAAAAAAATTATTTAATGTAGAGAATTGTTTTAAGGAAAGGTCAACATTTCCATTTGAGTAGACCCAAAAGCCACATGGGGAAAGAATGGATGGGAAATGAACAGGCATGTTGGCAAGAGAAAGGAAAAGAATTCTTTGATAGATGATTATTAAAAAAAATTTTTTTCAAAATATAGCTCACCTAGGAGTCTAGGCCTATAAATTTGCTCTTATTTTAAGTATCTCTAAAGAGGGGATCCCTGGGTGGCTCAGCGGTTTGGCGTCTGCCTTTGGCCCAGGGCGCGATCCTGGAGTCCCGGGATCGAGTTCTGCGTCGGGCTCCCGGCATGGAGCCTGCTTCTCCCTCTGCCTGTGTCTCTGCCTCTCTCTCTCTCTCTCTCTCTCTCTCTCCCTATGTCTATCATGAATAAATTTTTAAAAAATCTAAATATCTCTAAAGAGCTTTTAGAGTACTTTTTTTTTTTTATTTTGCTCATTCTGTACAAACTTTTTTTTTTTTTTTTTAAGATTTTATTTATTAGAGAGGAAGTGAGAGAGCATGAGCTGGGGGAGAGACAGACTCTCTACTGAGCAGGGACCCTGATGCAGGTCTGGATCCCAGGACCTTGGGATCATGAGCTGAACTGAAGGCAGACACTTAACCGACTACTAAGCCACCCAGGTGCCCCCATTCTGTACAAACTTAATGAGTACCTACTGTCTTTAGAAAGTATTTTTGCCTTAATTTTTAGTTTATTATACAAATAACATGGCAGTGGTAATAGAAAACAAGTTACAGCATTTCCCAGGCATTTCCAGGGATTCATCCTTCCCTTACCTCTCCCCACTTTTAGCAGAGACAGATACAAAATATAAAAAGCTAAAAAGACATAGCTTAGTTCAAAAGCAAGGTGGGTACCATCTCCATAGATCAGAAACAGGTTAGAACTGCTGAATGTCATTGGAAACCTGCAACCTGCCCAGCCTTGAGTGGCTAGTGTTCAGACCCCTTGGAGTAGGGGGAGACCAGGTTCCCGGTGGAAAGGACACCAGGAGCTGAGACTTTTAGAAAGATATGGGCCTAGGTAGGGAGAGGACACAGATGCGGTGTGCAGTAAAAGATGGAGCCAAACCATACCATGGCTCTGCCTGCAATATTCGCTGCATCACCTTGGAGCAGGAGTCCTAAATAGTCACTTTAAGAGCAGGCTTTGGAGAGCTTGGTGAAGAAGCCTCACAAGTAAGCCCTTTACCAATTGGAACATGAGTTTACTTTTCAGATGAAGCGAATTTTATAGCATGGTCTGACAAAGAACTTAAATATGTTTAGGATATTCAAAAGTAAATTAAGGAATAACTTTTTTTTTTTTTAATTTTCCTTTTTTATTTATTTTTTTATTTTTTTTAATTTTTCATTTATTTATGATAGTCACACACACAGAGAGAGAGAGAGAGAGAGAGAGAGAGAGAGGCAGAGACACAGGCAGAGAGAGAAGCAGGCTCCATGCACCAGGAGCCCGATGTGGGATTCGATCCCGGGTCTCCAGGATCGCGCCCTGGGCCAAAGGCAGGCGCCAAACCGCTGCGCCACCCAGGGATCCCAAGGAATAACTTTTTAATTTAAAAAACAAAGGCAACTGGGTGGCTCAGTTGGTTAAGCATCTGCCTTCGGCTCAGGTCATGATCCCGGGGTCCTGAAATTGAGCCCTGCATTGGGCTCCCTGTTAAGCAGGAGCCGCTTCTCCCTCTGCCTGTTCACTCATACTTGTTCTTTCTCTCAAATAAAGAAATCAAATCTTTTTAAAGTAAATAAAAGATTGTAAAAATCATGGAAACAAATGCCTACATAATGGAAATGGGATATCTAAAGAACAGGTAGAAATGAAAAATAATCAAATATCAAATGACTAGAGGTGGAATAACCTTAGTTTTCATACAGCTGAAAAGAAAATCAATTGGAATAAACTGAGAAATTCGCATGATGCATCAGAAAGATCCAAAAAAAGGGCCCCAAAGGGCCGATGGGAGATACAGAGTATATGCACAAAGGCCTAAGCATTGTATGATCCCACCCCCCTCTCTCTGTCCATCGCATCATTTGTGCACCTCTGTCACTAGCAGAATCACCTGGTTTATTTACTTGCTGACTTAAGCCTTCCTGAGCTGCTTCTACAAGATGCTGAGCTCTGTTGTGGGCATACTGTATACAGACAGCCAAGAACAAGTCAGATGATCTTGCTCTTGTGGATCTTGTATTCTAGCCTATTCATCACTATACCTCTGACATTTATCAGGCAGTCGGTATATTTATTGAATGAATGAATGAAAGAATGTAGTTAACACCTCAGAATATCTTCTTTGTGGCTTCATGGCCTTGATTATCTGTTATGTTTGGGCAGCTTTGCAGTGGGGAGAGAGACGGAGAGGAGATGAGAGGAATCCTTCCTCCTCAGAGCACACCTGCTGTCACTGGTCTGTGATACTCGAGAAATACTGGTGTGACCTCCAGAGACCTGGATTCCACCCAAGGTGTTCCTCTTGGACTTTGATTCAGAATGAGACCAGCAATGTAAACAATATTAATGTGTTGATTTTTCTTCTTTACTTTTCAGGCTGGAGTAAAAGGGACATTGGGAAGATTAGTTGGAATTTTTGAGGTAAGTCTTAAAATCTTTGGTGCCTTTGGTATCATATAAGTCACCATGTTATGTATACATGTATATCTTTGTCTCAGTCCATTTGGCTGCTATAACAAAACTGAGTGGCTTAGAAACAATAGAAATGGATTTCTAGTTCTAGAGGCTAAGAAGTCCAAGATCAAGGCACCAGCAGTTTCAGTGTCTGATGAGGACCCACTTCCTGGTTCATAGTTAAAGGTTTCTCCTGCTGTCCAAAAGTAGAGTGTTCGTATGAAACCTTTTTAAGTTGAAATGGGAGAAAGTGAAAAAGCAATTAACTTATATGGAAAATGTTTTTTAGCATTTCCATAAACCAAAAAATAACCTCTCTCAGGTTTTTCTGGTACCTCAGGATACATCTTGTTAACAGATGCATAAAATAAATCATAAAATAAATCAAGGTAAAGCACAGATGTTCACAGCCACAGTTCAGAGCTTTGGCTGCTTGATGAGGAAGTGCTGAGTGTAGTTCCCAGGGAAGGAGTTCAGTCCTGCCACTCTTGCTGCTCCAGGTGTGCACTGCCTCTTTAATGGCTTACTGCAGCATAAATGCTGAATGCTGGTTTAGTCTTCCACCTTTTTTTTTTTTTTTTGAGATTTTTTTTTTAATTTATTTATTCATTCAGAGAGAGAGAGAGAGAGAGAGGCAGGCTCCATGCAGGGAGCCCGACGTGGGACTTGTTCCCGGGTCTCCAGGATCACGCCTCAGGCTGCAGGCGGTGCTAAACCGCTGAGCCACCAGGGCTGCCCCCACCTTTTTTTTATAAAAGCAAAATCCTTTTAGGATTTCTTTCAGTTACCAAAAACAGGTACTAATGTAGATCTTTCGTTAAAGTGAAGTGGCTTACCTAGAACTTTGGAAAAGCAGGGGATACCTGTAGCTGTTTCTTTCTGTGTTCTCACAGGGCAAAAGGGGGATGGTTGCTCACTGGGGTCTCTTTTATCAGGTCACCAGTCCTGTCCTGTTCATGAGAATCAGCCCTTATCACCTAATCACCTGCCAGAGGCCCCGTCTCTTAATACTGTCCCATTAGGAATTAGGATTTCAACATCTGCATTGTGGGGAGCATAAACATTCAGTCTACTGCAGTCCTAATCTAGGATAGACACCATCTTTGTTTCACTAAGGTTTCCAAACAAAGCAGCACCAGCAGAGGATAGCTTACTTTCTTTTTTAAAATCCCATAGTCCCGGGCAGCCGGGTGGCTCAGGGGTTTAGCACCGCCTTCAGCCCAGGTAGAGACCCAAGATTGAGTCCCACGTCAGACTCCCTGTGTGGAGCCTGCTTCTCCCTCTGCCTGTCTCTCTGCCCCTCTCTCTCTTTCTGTCTCTCTCTGTTTCTCTCACAAATAAATAAAATCTTAAAAAAAAAAAAGAATAAAAAAAGCAAATCAAATGTTTCTTTGATTTTTGTCAGTGCTTGTGAAGCATATTTATATTATATTGTAGTCTGTGAAGTGTATACATACACTTAAGTGTCTGTATTAATTATATGCCATAATTTAAAAGTACTTTATTGCTAAAAAATGTTTAACTGTCATGAGCTTTCAGCATGTTATTTTTTTGCTGGTGGAGGATATTGCCTCCATGTTAATGGCTACTTGACTGATCAGGGTCATGGCTACTGAGAATTAGGGTGGCTGTGGCAATTTCTTAAAATAAGAAGTTTGCTGCATCAATTGACTCCGTTTCATGAACAATTCTTCTGTAGTAGATGAAGCTGTTGGGTAGCATTTTACGCACAGTCAAACGTCTTTTAAAATTGGGACTCTGGGACCACCTGGGTGGCTCAGTAGTTGAGCATCTGCCTTTGGCTCAAGACAAGATCCCAGTCCCAGGATCAGGTCCTGCGTCGGGCTCCCTGCATGGAGCCTGCTTCTTGCTCTGCCTGTGTCTCTGCTTCTCTCTGTGTGTCTCTCATGAATAAATAAATGAAATCTTTTAAAAACAACAACAACAAAAAAAATTGGGACTCCGTTCTCAAACCCAGCTGCTGCTTTATCAATTACATTTGTGGAATATTCTAAATCTTCTGTTGTCACTTCAACAATCATCATAGCATCTTCACCGGGGTAGATTCCATCTCAAGAAACTACTTTCTACGTTCATCCATAAGAAGCAGATCCTCATCTCTTCAGGTTTGATCATGAGATTGCAGCAGCAGTTCAGTCCCATCTTCAGGCTAGACTTCTCTTTCTTTCTTTTCTTTCTTTTCTTTCTTAATTTCTTTTTTTTTTTTTTTTTTTTGAGAGCAAGATAGTGAGCAGGGGGGCAGATGGAGAGAATTTTAAGCAGACTCAGTGCTAAGCACAGAGCTGGATGGGGGCTCAACCTCATGACACTGAGATAGTGACATGAATCAAGTCTTGAATCCCTCAAAGTCCCTCATGAGAGTTGGGTCAACTTCTTCCAAACTCCTGTTTGTATTGATATTTTTTACTTTTTTCCATGAATCACCACTGTTTTTAATGGCATTTAGAGTGGTGAATCCTTTCCAGAAGGTTTCCAGTTTGCTTTGCCCAGATCCATCAGAGGAATCACAATCTATGGTAGCTGTAGTCTTATGAAATGTATTTCTTAAATAATCAGACTTGCAAGTTGAAATGACTCCATGATCCATAGTCTGTGAAATGGATGTTGTGTTAGCAAGCATGAAAATATGAATTTCATTGTCCCTCTTCATCAGAGCTCCTAGGTGACCAGGTAGACTGTCAATGAGCAGTAATATTTTGAAAGAAATCTTTTTCTGAGCAGGAGGTCTCAAAAGTAGGCTTTAAATATTCAGTAAACCATGTTGGAAACAGATGTGCTATTATCCAGACTTTGTTCCATTTATAAAGCACAAGCAGAGAGCAATTTAGCATAATTCTTGAGGACGCTAGGACTTTCATTGAGCATTGGCTTCAACTTTAAATCACCAGCTGCCTCTAACCAGAGAGTCACTGTCCTTTGAAGCTTTGAAGCCAGGCACTGACCATTCTGTGAAAGTCTTAGGTGGCACTTTTTTCCAATATAAGGTTCTTTTGTCTACACTGAAAATCTGTGTTTAATGTAGCCACTTCATGGATTATTTGAGCTGAATCTTCTGGAAGCTACAGCTTCTCCACCAGCACTTGCCACTTCCCCTTGAACTTTTTTGTGTTACAGAGGTGGCTTCTTTCCTTAAACCTCATGAGCCAACCTCTTGTTAGCTTCAGACTTTTCTCTTGCAGCGTCCTCACCTCTTGCAGCCTTCACAGAATTGATGAGAGTGAGGGCCTTGCTCTGGACCAGGCTTTGCCTTAGGGGAATGTTGTGGCTGGTTTGATCTTCTATCCAGACCACTCAAACTATCTCTATATCAGCAGTGAGCCTGTTTCGCTTTCTTGTCATGCATGTGTTCACTGGAGTAGAACTTTTAATTTCCTTCAAGAACTCTTCCTTTGCATTTTCATCTTGGCTAACTGGCACAAGCAGCCTAGCTTTCAGCCTATCTTGGCTTTCAGCATGCTTTCCTCGCTAAGCTTAATCATTGCTAGCTTTTGATTTAAAGTAAGAGTAGGAGACTTGAACATTTAGAGGCCACTGTAGGGTTATTAATTGGTCTAATCCTTTTTTAATAATTTTTTAAAGATTTTATTTATTTAGGACACCTGGGTGGCTCAGTAGTTGAGCACCTACCTTTGGCTCAGGTCGTGATCCTGGGGTCCTAGGATCGAGTCCTACATCAGGCTCCCTAAGGGAGCCTGCTTCTCCCTCTGCCTATGTTTCTGCCCCGCCCCCCGTGCCTCTCATGAATAAATAAATAAAATCTTTAAAAAAAAATTTATTTATTTGAGAGTGCACAAGCAGGGGAGAGGTAGAGAGAGCTGGAGAAGCACACTTCCCACTTAGCAGGGAGCCCCATGCTCAGGGCAGGGCTCCATCCTAGGACCCTGAGACCATGCCCTGAGCCAAAGGCAGATGCTTAGCTGACTGGGCCACTCAGGCACCCCTAATTGACCTAATCTTAATTTTGTTGTCTCTCAGTGAATAGGGAGAATGACAGGGAGAGATGGGTCAGTGGAATTTATTTATTAATTTCACTGTCTTATATAGGTGTCCTTTGTGGCACTGGGAAGCAGTTATATTAGTAACATCAAAAATGATTGATCACAGATCACCGTAACAAATATAATAATGACAAAGTTTGAAATACTGTGAGAATTATCAAAATGACAGACACGAAGTAAACAAATGCTGTTGAGAAGATTGCACCAGTAGATTTGCTTGACACAGCACTGCCACTGACCTTTAATTTACAGCAAGGGCGGTGGCTATGAAGCACAAACAAGATAACCCTGGATGGTTTATCCCATCCCCACCTCTCTTCCTCTTCTCCCAAGATTTGAGGAGGGGAGATGAAGTGTAGAGAAGATTGAAGGAAAAAAAAGAGATCAAGTAACTATCTTGAAAGGCGGAAGAAACAACGAAGTGAAGTAGGCTGGGATAGAAGTTTGGAGGAAAGTGGAAGGTAGTGAGAAATGGGGAAATAAAGATGAGCAAGGTTAGTAGAAGGGGAGATGCATGAGATAATGAGCTTGCTTGCATTACTGGAACCCCCACCCACCCACAGCCTCCTCTCTTTCTTGTGTTTTAGCGAGTTACATTTACTGGGTGCCTTTTTCTTGAGTGGTCGCAAACTTCCTTCTCACGGCCTTCCTGTGAGGGGAAAGAAAAAAGAGATTAAAGCTTGGGCTTTAGAAGGCCAGCCAAAGAGCGCAACCTGAAATGCAAGTGCAGCATGTTTGATAGGTCATCTGGTGCTCTTCCCTGTGTGTCTATAGGACGACTCAGAGTAAATGGAATGCCTGTGTCTGAGCTCTCTGGACATATGGCTAAAAGTGTGTTTCACTTAAGTAATCTCAGCTCTCTAAGGGAAAGCTCTTCCTCTGTCCTCTCTTTGCCCTTCAGAACCAGGAGAGGAAGCACAGAACGTATGTCTATGTGCTCATTGTCACAGAAGTGCTGGAAGACTGGGAAGATTCAGTTAACATTGGTAAGTTGTCCCCAGATAGCCTCCACAATGCTCCTCACCACAGGGCCGTTGCCACACAATAGGTCATGACCCAGAACCAGAAATGAGCCAGATAAAAGAAGTCATAGAAGGACATGTTTAATGAAAGAAGCATGTCCATTTTGAACTTAATGAAAATTAGTGTTTTGCAGTGTCCTAAAGGAAGCTGAAGGTGGGTACATGGTCAACAAATAGAAACGTGTCGTGTAAAAATAAAAACAGTTGTTTCCCAAGTCAAATTGGACCCTCCTCAGCAGATACTGTCTGTCTTCCACCATGCTAGGGCTGCTGCTGGCCACGAAACCCCAGCTGAGAGCAGAATCTTTGTTGTTCCTTGTGGTGTTTATTCATACTGTTGGAGAAAGCTGCTGACCTGGTGGGGTGAGCTGTTCCCTCCAGAGCCCTTTCGTAGATACAGAGTAGTAGGAGCAGTTTCCAGTTCAGCCGTGTTCCCCTTCGGGTGCCCCTCCCTTTCTCCTAAGGAGCCACTCTCTTTGCTCTCTCAGATTACTATGGAGTGTGTGTCTTTAGAACTAAAAATCTCAATGATTTAATGTTTAATCTTTTACCTCTGTAGGAAAGTATATTCTAGAAAAGTTTAATAATTTAAAAACTGGTTATGAATTGGCAAATGGAATAAAATCCATTTGCTAAAACCTTTTCCTTTATTGTGTGTATGTGCTTTGCCATCATGCCCCTCACACTGCTGATCTGGGCATTTTGTGGCCCTTCAGCTTTTAACAGCTTTGTATCTGGTAAGAATGCAATATGCTTAAGTAAATAAATTCAGTAGGGGTTTATTAAAAATAGACTCCTTGACAGCTAGTGCTAAAACTTAAAAAGGAGACAGAGATGAATGTGGCATGGCCCTGTCCTCAGAGCACTCTGTCAGGCGGGAGTCACACACTTGTGATATGAATTTTCAAGGTACCATTGCTCTATTAATATCCAGCAAGCCTTTCACCTTATACTACTTCCAGGAATTGAAATATTGAAATAATCTAAAATATGGAGAATAAGCCTATGAGCCTTCCTGCAGATGAGCCTTTTTCAGGTAGAAATTGGGTCTCAAACATTTGATGCCTCAGTGAAGGATAAGTGTTCTGGAGTACATTCATCTGATGGACTGTTACACAACTGTTAAACACGTACTTACGAAAACTGATCTACCATGGCAAAGTGCTTATGAGTCAGTGTTGGTGAATGAAGAAAGGGTACAGATATATATATATGTACACACACACACACACACACACACGTATATATACACACTAATTAAAGCTATATGAAAATAAGAAATTTGAAATGAAATTTTAAAAAGTACTCGGTTTCACCTAAAGAATTGGCAATGACAAAAGAAAAGGTAGCAGTGCTGACAGGTGTGGTAAAAATGACATTCCAGCACACACAAGCAGGACTGTGCATTGGGATGGCCTCTCTGGAAAGCAGTTTGGCATTATATAAAACGAGGCCTTCCGAGTTCAGTGTTTTATTCCTAATACCTCAGTTCTAGGCATCTTCTGGGAGGTTAAAAGAAAGAAAAAACAGGGACGCCTTGATGGCTCAGCAGTTGAGAGTCTGCCTTCGACTCAGGACATGATCCTGGAGTTCTAGGTTCAAGTCCTGCATTGGGCTCCTGCATGGAGCCTGCTTCTCTTCCCTCTGCCTATGTCTCTGCCTCTTTCTAGTGTCTCATGAATAAATAAATAAAATCTTTAGAAAAAAAGAAAAGAAAGAAAAAACCATAAAGCTTTTTTATTTTATTTTTTTTAAGAGAGAGTGTGTATGCTGGGGGAGTGGGGGGGTGGGGGAGGGAGAGGGGGAGAGAGAATCCTAAGCAGGCCCCATCTGCCCAGTGCAGAGCCCCATCTCACAATCCTGAGATCAGGACCTGAGCCAAAATCAAGATTCAGATGCTCAACTGACTGATCCATCCAGGCGCCCCTCATATTTTTTATAACTTAGAAGAGCACTTAAGAAACAGTGTGAAATAAAAAGAAAGAAGGAATAATAATAATAAGCAGACTCATAGCATGTACTATGGGCCACATATGGTTCAAATGTCTTACATATTAATTAATCCTCACAACAGACTTGTGAGATAGATACTATTTATTATCTGTATAGATGAGGAAGGTGGGGCACAGCTCAGTACCTAGTTCAGTAACTTGCCCCAAACTGACCATTCATAAGAGCCAGTAATATGATTGGAGCCCAGGATATTAGCTCCAGCGTCCAGGATTCTAACCACAACACTCTTATTAGAGCTTCTCGGGATTTAAAGCATCTGAGCATGATCCCAGTTATAGCTGTTCAGTGCAGTGTTTTTTTCAAATGTGATGAAAGAAAAACAAAGGCACAAAGCTATTGAGAGTAGTCATTTTTGGTTTCTAATGTTGTGTTAATCATATTCTTTACACTTCCATTTTCCCAGTATTAAGCAATGATCTTTTATTATAAGAGAAAAAAATAAAGGATCTTAAACACGAAAAGGAAAGAAAACAGACTGAAAGGGCACTTGGGTGGCTCAGTGTTTGAGCATCTGCCTTCGGCTCAGGGCATGATCACCAGGTCCAGGGATCGAGTCCCGAGTCTGACTCCCCACATGGAGCTTGCTTCTCCCTCTGCCTGTGTCTCTGAGTCTCTCTATGTCTCTCATGAATAAATAAATAAAATCTTTAAAAATTAAAATAAAATAAAATAGGTAACTGATTATAAAGCAGCCATCCTAGTAATTCTAGAAGCTGACACTTGTGTTGATTTATGCAGAAGATGGGGGTTGCTGGCTGGGCTTCAGGTGTTGCCATACAAGCCGGGCAAGGCTCAGAGGCGCAGGAACTCAAGAGGAAACCAGGAGCAGTGGTTCTCCCTGGAGGGCAGGTTTCACACGGTTCACTTCTCAGATGTCTTCCTTTCTTGGGCATTGGCAGCTGTATGGTATTTGAAACATATACTCTTGTGAGGAAAAATACCTTTATAATGCACGGTTTTAAAGTCTTGATGATGTTGCCTTCTTGTTTTCATCGACACTCGACACTTTCTCCCAAGTTGTAAGATCAGAAACATGCCACTGCTTCCCTTTTGCCCTCATTTCTTTTTCTCTCTGCCCCCACAGGAAGGAAGAGGGAATGGTTTAAAATAGAAGATGCCATAAAAGTGCTGCAGTATCACAAACCAGTGCAGGCGTCGTATTTTGAAACATTGAGGCAAGGCTACTCAGCCAACAATGGCACCCCGGTCGTGGCCACCACGTACTCGGTTTCTTCCCAGAGCTCCATGCCAGGCATCAGATGACTGAAGACTTCGCGTAAGAGGAATGGAAATTGGAAACTAGACTGGAGTGCAGATCTTCCCTCCCTTGCTCTTTTCACCTCTCCTCACAGGCCTCCTCTCCAAATAAGGCATGATGGGCAGCAGAGAAAGGGGTTCTTGATGGTGTTGCTGTTTGGTGTTAAGTGGGCTTTTTCTTCTCTTTTTATGGAGGGGGTGGGGGGTGGGTATGTAATTTGTAAGTACTTTTGTGCATGATTGCTCCCTTCCTTTTCACACCCCTACAATTGTCTAAAGAGACAAACAGCCTTCCCTCTGCCTTGGATTCTGAAGCGTTCCTGTTTGTCTCACCCCAGCCCTGGCCAGACATTTTTTCTTTGATTTTTAATTTTTTTTATTAAAAGATACCAATATGAGATGAAACCTTTCAAGAATTTGTCCTGTAATGCTCTATTGAGTCCTGTAGGTTGGTCACTTCCACCATAGGATACATTTATCTACACATTATATACTGGGCATATAATATGTAAATAAATGACTTTTAGAAGAGGAATTTAACTGTTTAATTTTTCAAGGTTTTGTTTTTTAAATTCGGGTGTTTCTAAAATGGAGAGCCTCACAGTTAACTTCCCTTTTTGTTTTTGATGCTAGTGTTTAGGTAAGCTTTCCTGTCCTCCCTTTTCCCAGTCACTGACTGTAGTTACATAGGGTACGGAAAGAGTGTAGCTACCTTCGTAGCAGTCCCAGGACTCATGGCCCTCTCTTCTGAAAGCTGTGTTTCCATGCCAAGAAAGAAACAGGAAGAAACCTATTTCCCTTTTTATTACCAAGCCAGGAGCAAATGGCCTCAGCTCAGACCTGGAGAAACAGTGGTAGAAATTGAATTCCTTCCCTACGTGTTGACAGTAGGGATTTGAACTGGATTCTTGGGATTACTATCTAAAAAACTGGAGCATCAAGCACTGTTTCTGTCCTGCTGGTGGGAATTTTTTCCATAATACTCCTTGTCACCGACAATGGCCTCTCCTTGTGCATACATGCCTTACACCGTGCTGAACTGGATATTGTCCTTGTGCTGAAGCATCCAGCTTGTACTTGGCAAGTGTGTGTGTACGGTCCTTTCCCCATCCTGGGTAACCATGTTAAGTTCCTGAAAAGTACACAGGAGGAAAATTCAGGTGTTTGCTTATCTTTGTAATGCTACAGCACTTGGAATTGCACCATGGAGCATGCTCAGAAATACTTAGTTTGTCTCCTGCTGGGATGCAGAAGGTTTCGATGTCTGCTGAGAAGTGGTATGGGAAAATGCTCAGTCGTTTACTAGAGTAGCGACATAAGCATTGGTCACTAGCAACTGTCGTGTTGGTTTTTGATACAGGCTTCATGCTGGCTTCATGTGCCAGTCCTGTTGTTTAGTTGGGAAGTAAACAGGAAAGGGTCTTGAGATGGAGGGCTGGGGCCAGTTGATTTGACACTGATCAGTCCCTGGCTAGGGCAGGAGTTTGTTGCTGTACCCTGAGTGGCATCTCCTTTGTCAAAACATAGCCAAGATGTGAAATTAAGATTGTGGTTCTCTTTATTTAAAAATTCTAATAAATACTCAAATTTTGAAAAGCTTTTGCTCTTCCCTCCCACTAGAAGATGTATGTGTATATATACATATGTAGATATGACATAGGCCTGTGTCATTTAGTGTTTAACATTTTGGGGAAGTCTTGCGGTGAACTTTAAATCTTGCTATCTGCTGTGTTTCATCTTCTCTCCCAGTCTTGAGACACAGAACCAACAAGTAGTGCCCACAGCTTCCTTAGGTTACTGTCCTACCTCTGGGAAAGGAATTCTGTCCCAAGTAGGGTCTCAGTGGACAGGAACAGCACCATGGGACTGGAGTCTAAATACCAGCCCACTGTTCGCATGTCCTGCTCAGAAACAAACATCCTGCTGCTTGTTGCCCAGTTGAGAGCATTTGGAGTTTCTGTCCATATGAGTAAAGGAGAAAATGTAATAAATTCAACCAAGCACTAAGTATCCAAAAAACACATCCTTCCAGCTCAATTCTACCTTTACGATCTGTTTCAAAAGTACTTTGCAGGAAAACAGGCAGTGCTCCTAAAAAGAGAAGTGCAGCGTTAATAGTAATTCGTGCATTTTTTTCATGATCTAAAGATGTTTTTACTGGGCTGGTGTCACAACACATTCCCCAACGAGTCCAGTTTGGATTGATGTTGGCGTCTTGGGTCAGGAAAGTGAACTGTGCCAAGAAGTATTTTTCAGTGACATGAATGGATCCTATTAATGCAGTTAACTGGGGAGATTGTGCGGATGCTTTCTTAACTGACAAAAAGAGGCTTTGTCCAATGCCAGAATTGTTGAAACTGGTGCTATTTTCTGTTGCACTGGGATCCTGATGAGTGGGGATTGGTGTTTTTCCCTCCCTGGCACCATAACACCATGGCTATCTTCACTGATGTGTAGTCATCGCCCTTTTGTGATGGATTACTTAGACCACGGTTGCGGTAGCCATTATATGCTTCCCCAAAGAAAGCAAGGAGAAACGGAAGAAAGCACAAAAATGATCCCACTTGCGGAGTATTTCTTTGACACCGATTTACCATGAATTCTGCAAGTACTCACCTTATTCAGGCTGGACACAAACAGCTTCTGGGGTACAGGGCAGATATAAAGTTTCTTTTTTTTTTTTTTTTTTTTTTTATTTATCCATGTGCAACACAGAGAGAGACAGAGACACAGGCAGAGGGAGAAGCAGGCTCCACGCAGGGAGCCCGACGTGGGACTCAATCCCGTGTCCCCAGGATCACACCCCAGGCTGCAGGCGGCGCCAAACCACTGCGCCACCGGGGCTGCCTATAAAGTTTCTTTCTCACAGTGAATTTGCCTGTCCTGGATTCTGTTTATTTCTAGGGTGTCCATCACAGTCCAACATGCTCAGAATAGAGAAAGATAGCATTGGATATTTTTAAATGAAACCTTGTTTTTAGTTTATCAATTTGCAGCCACTGGGAATGCATCAGTGAGGTCATGCCATCTTTTGGGACCAGGACTGTGTGTGTGTGTGTGTGTGTGTGTGTGTGTGTGTGTGTGTGTGAGAGAGAGAGAGAGAGAGAGAGAGAGAGAGAGAGAGAGAAGAAAGAGAAAGGACTACCAGGAGTCAGCTCCATTCGACTTTTTGTAGCCTTCCAGAATGGTGTAGCCCATGAAATAAGAATCTTGATCTTTCTTGTAACTAAACTAGCAGGATGGAAAAGTTAACGAATTGACAGTTTTGTTTTGTTTTTACAAGTGTCTGCTGCCCCATCTGCCCTGCATAGAAAAGGCTCCCGCACTGCTGAGTCTGAGCTGAGGCCATCTGGAGGGATCAAACAGTATAGGAGTAACACCCCCTGTGAGGCCACAGAAGGCCTGGAAGGTGGCTTCACTGCAGGATTTCCACCCTCTGCGTGGCCGGATGCAGTGCACTCTAGCTCTAGGCCTTGCCTCTCGCAGGCTCTGGGGAGGAGAGCAGGCTACTGCCCTCTGGGAGTCCTGCAACAGTTTTGTAAACACGTTGCTATACAGTCAAGTTCCTTCGTGACACATATTTTCTGTTTTGATGTTAGGAGTCAGTCCACATAAGGTCCCTTGACTAGCTTAGAAAAAAAAAAATCACCTTTTGTTTTGAAAAGAAGAAAAAAATGTCCACACAGAACCATTCTTCCTCTTCCTTCCCCTTTCTCTTGCCCACATGCAGTGCTCATTGGAGCAGCCCCCCAACTCCAAACCTCTCTTCCAAGGAGTAATGTGTCTTCTGCTAGATCTGGATGTGCAGCTCACACGTCGTGCTGGATGTGCTTGTCATTTCCACCTAGTGCTGGAGTAATGCCTCTGCTGGTCTCCCCACCTGATCTTTTTCTAAAACAGCATAGCCCGAGCTACATTTCTTTTGGTTCCCAAAAAGGATTTAATAATCACAACGGGATCTTTGCCACAATTGTGTGAATCTGAGTATTCCTGAATTATTCTCGAAGTCCAGACTAGTTGAGAGAAAATTTAGAATAAGAAGAACTACCTGGAAAAGTCACAAAGGGCCGAATTTTTGCTTTAAGGGAAATGGAGATTAGCTGTTAACTGATGATCAAGCCTCGTCCTGGTTCCATCTGCATTTCAGAAAATACCACACAGGTTTATAACAAATAGGAGGCATGTTTGCTCAAGAGGCTCTGGGGTGAGATTATCTAATGGTGATGAAATAATGCAACAGCCCCTGTGGTTCTTATTCTTGAAACTCTAAGAGGTCAGACCTGAAGCTACATGGGTCATACTGCCCAGTTGAGGCGACAGTCTTTCCTTCTCAGCCCTGCTGGAGAGGAACCCATTTCCTCAAGGCCGGGGGGTGGGGGCTGGGGGTAGGGGGGCTTCCAGGCTGTGCAGTTATCCATGTTAGTGACCTCATCCCTGGTCCATCCGGGCACCCATTTCACTTGGAATAGGCCGGAAAGCAGCCCAGGGCCAGCCTCTGTCCTCTTGGGGGTGAGCCTTGCAACAGAGACCTCGCCATCCTGGAAGAGCTGTTTTTTCCATATCACTTTAGATGTCACCTAAAGCAGTGAGACACTTGAGATGTTCAGGTGGTAAATTGGGAAGCATTGGCTGCAGTCCATAAAAGCTACTGTTGTCTGTTGATTAGGTGGCTTGAGATCACCACAGTCCCTGGCAACCTGAAGATTTTAGGCTCTCCTTTAAAGGCCAGAAGCCTTCTACTTCTGTCCCTACAAAGGCAGCTGCACATTTTGGCCATAGCTGATGACCTTTCGGGGATGTGAGAAGCCTAATCAGAACATTTGAGAAAATGATACCTCTCACCTTCAGATTCATCAAATAGTTTGTCCTCTTAGTCCCCTTAAAAAATTAACAAAGAAAGAAAGAATGCCATTTGGTTGGATTTGGACATGCTCCTTGAGCTGAGGCTACAGTCACATGATTATGAGTCTGCAATATGAAGCTTTCTAAGTGGAAAAGGCATGTCTCTCCCCTGAAGCTTTGTTTATAGTGAAGATTTATGGAGCTTTAGTTGTCTGAAAAAATGAGACGGTCCACTTGAAGGGGAGCTCAGAGGGATGCTACATTAACTCAGAATTCACACCAGGAGGGATTCTGCTGGAGAAGAAAGTGCCTTTCGACAAAAAAGCAAGATTAATATCTAAAAGGTAGACAGGCATTGCTTCTGTTCCTCCACCAATCAGTTGTTTAATAATTAATTCTAGGTTTCCTTTGGTTTACAGTCTCAGTTCTTAATCCCACAAAGAGGTCCCTAGAACACCAAAAGTGTCTAAAACCCTGGAGGTTGGCTTTAAAAGATACAAAATCGGTAGCATTGTAACTTTCCAAGTTCACCATTTTGATGTGCTGCCCATCCTTCCACACACTTTGCACCCAG